AGAGAAAGGATGCGGGAGGGAGGGGGGAGAGAGGGAGGGAGAAGGAGGACCAGCCTTTGCTTCTGGAGCATTCAGGCCGTTCCTGGTTGCTGGCCACGGCTGGACGCGTCTCGAAAACGGGTATCAGGGTGGTGCTATCGAGGAGGCTCGGGGATAGAGTAGACAGATTGCCAAAGAAAATAGAAATACGTATCCATATGTACAGGGAGAGAAGTGTCAAGGAGACACAGAGGTATCATATATAGGGAAGTAGTAGGGAAGAGGACGCATATAAGTATCTATGTTTAGAAAAAGGCGATATGGCATATGCGAGAGAGAAATAAGAGCGGCGAGAGAGGAGAGAGGATATCAAATATGCACGAGAGAGAGTATGCATAACATATGTGTATATATATATATGAGAGAGAGACTAGATGGTACACATCAGGAAGAGGGGGGGGAGAGAGAGAGAGAGAGAAAGACCAGAGGGAATGAAACGATTACAAAGAAGGGAGAATATCATATCTATATATATATACAGAGAGATAAACAATCAGCCATTCATAAGCATAAAGATATATACAGATGGGGAGAGAGAGTACACATCTACATATATCTATATATATACATATATATATATGAACAGGAGGGGAAGCTGAGAGTGAGAGAAACCAAAAAGACACACACAGAGAGAGGAGAGATAGAAAGAGGGGGAGAGCAACAATAACAGCAAAAACGCGTGTGTGTGCGTATACCTGAATAACTTCCATCTGCCGCAGGCCCCCCGTCGCTCCAACGCATAGCAATTTGTCAGAGGTTCTTGCTTCGAGGACGCAAATCTGTCGTCATTTACGAGGGGGCTTTGGCCTCGGGATTGCGAACCTCGCATCACGTACAAGGGATTCCGGGCTGGGGCGCGCGAGTTTGGTGTCATGTGTGTCGGGATTGCGGCATGCGGAGCGCGACCAAGGCGTAAGGTTCTAAGAGTTGTGGGCTGAGGGGCACGAGCCCGGCGTCATGTACAAGTGAGTGTGGCTTGGCGGGTGCCGCTTTGGCGTCAGCCGCAAAGAAGTGTCGCGTCGGGGGCGCGCAGGTTATAGTAATGCAAGAGGGAGGGTGGCTTCGGGAGCGCGGCCTGGGGGCGCGCGTCGCAAAAGGATCATGGCCTCGGGGGCGAAAGTTTGCAAAGGTTTGTGGCCACGGGGTCGCGAGCTCAGAGTAATTTGCAATGGGTTGTTGTTTGGGAAGCGCGCGCGTGGCGCAATCTACCCTGGGTTGTGGCTTCGGGGGCGCGAGCCACGCGCAGTTCAGGGTGGATTGTGGCTTGGGGGGGCGCGAGCCCCGGGCGATGGGCAGCGGATTGCGGCTGGCGGGCGCGAGCCTGGAGTGTAAGTTTCGAGGGACTGGCCCGGGGAGCCCGGTTCTGGCGCAATGTCTGTGGGACTGCGCTTTGTGAGGAGCGAGCGCTGCGCACGTTGCAAGAGGAGGTGTGGCCGCGGGAGCGCGAGCGCATCGTAGTTCACGTGGAGTGTGACTTCGGGAGCCCGAGTCTGGCGCATGCACTGAGGGGTGAGGCCCCGGAAGCGCGAATCCGCAGCAGCGCGTGTAAGGCCGTGCGGTATGAGGAGCGCGAGCACGCCGTCATTCACACTGTAATGCACGAAGGCTTGCAGCTTGGGGAGCGCGAGTCTGCTGTACTGCACGTGCACCAGAGCCTCCCCAAGTGTTAATTCCCAGAGGGCCGAGTCAGTGGGCTCTTTTCGCCCCCCCTTCTCCTCGCGCGGACATCAATCGTTCCAACAATGGAACTAGAACAGAAAACACATAACTTACCACAGCTCCTGCGTTGCGGATAAAAGAAGGACGGCGTCGGTTGTCTGCGAGGCTTCGAAGAAGCCCGCCGCAGGCGCCAAATTTTCGTCAACGCAATGTTGGTGGGTCGCGGGTTGGTCCCGGGCGGGCCGCGGGCGAGGACGACGACAACAATGACAAACAGCACACAACACACAAACATACAGATATATATATATATATAAGATCAATGCGAATTAGAATCATTAGAGCAACAACGACAAGTTTAAGACTGTTCGCTCTTATCTGCTCGCGTGCTACTCAACACGTATGTTACCTGCAACGTGTATTGCGTGCCCCGAGGAGTGGAAGAGAGGACGGATGGAAGGAAGGGACAGGGGGGAGGGAGGAGGATGGAGCACGATGGGGAGTAGCAGAAGGAGGGCCAGGAGCAGAAAACACGTGGCAGAACCAGACGGGCAGATCGGGCGGGTAGACCTCAGAAGGCGGGTCGGAAGGCGGGCCCCGGGAGCCAGGTTGAGCAGGCGGGTTGCTGAAGCCTGCGTCCTGCATGAATCACGAGGAAGTTCCGAGCGACAGCGGGATTCCCAAATGAATCGCCAGGACAGCGGGAGCGTGATTCCTGAGTGTCGAGGGCGCTGCTTCTGAAGAAGTGGCGAGGAAGTCCCACGCGAGAGCGCGACTTAATAAAGTGTGAGGAAGTCCCCACGCGAGGCCGCGATTTCTCAATACATTGTGAGCAAGAATCAAACGAGAGTCGCTGTTGCTGTTGTTGTTGTTGTAACTCGGGGGACAAGGGCGCAGGCTGGTGACACTCCGCTTTCCCTTGTTAAAAATTGGGCTCGAGCAATCAGTGATGATTCAATGACAACAACAAGAACAACGACGACGACGACGACAACAACCACCACAACAAAATCTGTTTACCCTCACGCGCGATGTTTCCACACGAAGCATGCGACCATCATGATAACCATCCCTATCACAGGGGGACTCTTGTTCCATAGCGGGGCCCGTTATTCCCATTCCCAGATCTCCCGCCCACTGAGGTCTTGCAAACACCTCCTCCGAGGAATTTTCACATATCCCGCCTCGAAAACGCATGCCCGCGCCTTGCTGTGCCGAGGCGAGACCGCCAGTGGAGTCCCAGCCAAGGGTAAAGCACAAGGAAGGATCGAGCGACAGGAATGCCTTGGTGGGGATGGGGGCTGTCGGCGGCGAGGCAAGGACCTGGCCCTGAATAGAAAGGGGGGAAGTCTCAAGCAGGGCCGTTTTTGTTGCTGGGAACGGCGCCAATTCTGAAGAGAGTAGGGCGCTAGCCCAGCGTAACACAAAACGAAGTCTCGAGCGGGAACGTTGGTTTTGCTGGGACGGCGGCTGTCGGCGGCGAGAAGGATCACCGCTTTGAGTAAGAAGGGAGGAAGTCTCGAGCGGTGGCCGTGGTTTTGTCGGGACGGGGACTGTCGGCGGCGAGGAACAGCACCGTCTTGAGGAAAAAGGGAGGAACCCTCGAGCGGGAGCGATGCCCTTGCTGGGAGCGGCGCCAATGCTGAAGAGAGTAGGGCGCCATTCCTGCGTAAAACGGGAGGATGTCTCGGGCGGGAGCGCTGACTTTGTCGGGACGGCGGTTTTCGGCGGCGAGGCGGAGCACCGCCTTGAGCAAAAAGGTGGAAGTCTCGAGCGGGAGCGTCGTTGTTGTTGGGGGGCCGGTTTGGGCGCCCCCCCAGACCGTTCGAGCGTGAACCTCAGATTCAATGATATGTAGCCGGCGCCGAGGCGAGAGCGCCAAAGCGCCTGGGGGGGTCCATCAATAATAATTGTTTTGTAATAAAAATACAGCAACAACAACAATAATGTTAAGACTGTTCGCTCTTACTTGCCCGCGTGCCATGCAACGTGTATACCCACGCCCTCGATACCCGCCCCCTTCGTCTTCGAGCGTACCCACTTCTGGGGGATTCTTTCTTTTTGCGGGGTCGGGCGGGCTTAGACAAGCGGGCGTGAACGGGCGGAGAATTATTCGGAGGATGGGGCACGCATCTCTTTGCCCACCATTGGAATTAGCGCGGGCCCTGCAAGAAGAGGAAGGGGGAGAACGAGGGAGAGTGGGAGGAAGGGAGGGGGAGGGACGAGGCTAAAGGGGAACACGCCAGGAGAGAGGGGGCGAGGAGGGGGGGGGGGGGGACGATTGGAGATAGAGAGACAGAGGAGGGAGGAAGGAGGAGGCTGGAGAGGGGAGGGCGAAGAGAGGAGGGAGGAGGGTTATGGGAGGAGGGTGAGGGGAGAGAGGAAGAGGGAGGAGGAGGGTGGATATGAGGGAGAGGGGAGGGAGGAGGGAGGTTGGATGGGGAGGAAGGGGCAGGAGGGTAAGAGTGTGAACGTTCGAGGAAGTCCTAGGCGAGGGCGTATTCCTCAAGGAAGAGTTGGGCGGGAGCGGGGGTCCCGAGTACATTGTCGGACGTCTCAGGCGGGAGCGCCGGTCGGGCGGGCGGACCCTGACGGGCGGGTCGGGCGGGAGGGACATTCAAACGGGATTTTTGTGTAAATTGCGAGGAAGTATTAAGCGAGAGCGCGATTCCTAAGTAAATTGCGAGGGCGTCCTTGGCGCGAGCGTGGTTCCTGAGCGTCGAGAACGCGATGCTGCAATAAATTGCCAGGAAGTCCTAAGCGAGAGCGCCATTCCTGAGTAAATTATGAGGAAGTCTCGGGCGGGAGCAGGGGTCCTGATTAAGGAAGTCTCAAGCGGGAGCGCCGCTTTTGAGTAAAATGTGAGAAAGTCTGAAGCGGGAGCGCCCTTCCGGAGTAAATTTTGAGGAAGTCTCAGGCGGGAGCGGGGGTCCTGAGTGAATTGTGAGGAAGTCTCAGGCGGGAGCCGTTGTTGTTGTAGTCCGGGGCCCAACAACGCAATCTGATCCGCAAGGCTTTCCCTGTCAAAAAACCGGGTGCGAGCCCCGGAGGAAGCACTTCAATTGAAAAAACCAATGGGCACCGGACAGGGGGGATCAACAATAATTATTCTTCAGAAATAAGAGTTCAACAACAGCAACAGCAACAGCAACAGCAACAGCAACAGCAACAGCAACAGCAACAACAAGAAGCATCATTTTGAGACTGTTTGCTCCTGTTTGCTCACGTGCCAATCAAAACGTCTATCTCAAACCCTCGGTGCCCGCCCTCGTCGTCTTCGATCATACCACCTTGGGGGTATATCTTCCTTAGTTGCCACGCGCATGTAGTATAGCCCCTAAAACAAAGGAAGAGAGGACGGACGGCAGGGGAAGGCGGAAGAATGGAGCACGAGAGAAATTAGCTGGTGGGGGGCAAGGAGCTGAAAACAAGTGGTGGAACCAGACGGGCAGATCGGATGGGCAGACCCATAGCGGGTAGGTCGGGAAGGCGGACCCAGGCGACCAGGTCGAGCAGGTTGCTTGCTGAAGCGTGGGTCCTGCATGAATTGCAAGGAAGTCTCTCAAACGATAGCGAGGTTCCCAAGTAAATCGCAAGAGAAGCAAAAGCGAGAGCGTGATTCCTGAGCGCCGAGGGAGCGCGGTCTGAATAAATTGCAAGGAAATCGACGCGAGAGTGCGATTCATATACAAATTGTGAGGAAGTCCCGCGCGAGAGGAGCGCGATTTAGGAATACAGCGTGAGGAAGTATCAGGCGGGAGCCTCTGTTGCTGTAAACTGAGAGCCGCGGACTGAGGCACCGCGGGTATCTGAGCGAGACCTCGCCGTCCCGGGGGGGCTGCGATTTGCGACACTGTCGCCACTTTCGAGGGCTGCTGGCGGGTCCAGCGGAGTGAGGCACTGCGGGGATCTGAGCGAGACCTCGCCGTCCCTGGGGGGCTGCGATCTGCGACACTGTCGCCACTTTCGAGGGCTGCTGGCGGGTCCAGCGGAGTGAGGCACCGCGGAAACCTGAGCGAGACCTCGCCGTCCTTGTGGGGGGCTGCGTTCGTAACCACTACGACGCCCGTATATCTTGATCGGGAGCCTGCGAGCCTCCCGATTGCTGCTCGCAAAACCACATGCGTCCATGTTACGTCATCGCCCCCGTTGTAGCAATCCTGATGTACTTATGTCCCGCATTGCGCAAGGGTTGGGTACGTCGCCAGGGTAATGTTCCCCCAAAATCCGCCTGTAGAGGGACAGGCCCAACCTAAGATTGTGAAGGGCGGGAGGCAAGGAGGGAGGGAGAAAGGATCGTCATCTGTCCCTCCTGGGCCTTCAGGCCTCCCTTGGCTCGGCAAGCCACGGCCGGGCGCGGTTCGGACAAAGGATCAGTGTGGTGGTGGGGAGGGTCTCGGGGATCGTCGTGCTGAGCGGTTTTGGGGAAGGAGGGAGAGGGAGAGAGAGAGAGAGAGATGAGAGAGAACTATAGACAGAGGGATCAAACAGAAAACAACAACAGCAATAACAACAACAAAAGTGAGGGATACAACGGGCGTGAGAGAGACGAGGAGAGAGAGAGAGAGGGAGACAAAGAGAGATAGAGAGAGAGGGAGGAACAAAGACAACAAAGAGAGAGGTAGAGGAAGAGAAAGAGAGAGGGAGACAGGATAGGGAAGGGAAGGAGTGGGCATGGAGGATGCGCATTTTCTTCTGAGCCTTCAGACCACCCCTGGCGTCACTGGACATGGTTCGGAAAACGGATCAGTGTGGTGCTGAGAAGGGGCTCGGGCATCGTCGCAAAGAGAGAGAGAGAGAGAGCGATAGGGAAAAAGAGAGAGATAGAGAGAGAGAGAGAGACGGAGGGAGGGAGGGAGGGAGGGGGGAAGGATGATCACCCTTTCTTTCTGGGCCTTCAGGCCCCCCCGGTTGCAAACGGCTCGGGGATCGGATCAGGGTGATGTCTGGTAGGGGTTCGGGCATCGTCTCAGAGAGAGAGAAAGAGTTTGATACATAGGGAGATACAGAGAGAGGGAAGTGAAGCAGGATTCGGGAGGGAGGGAGGGGGGAGGGATACGCAGCCTTCCGTTCTGGGCCTTTAGGCCCCCCCCTGGTTGCAAACCATTGCTGGACGCGGCTCGGACAAGGGATCAGGGTGGTGCCCAGGAGGGGCTCGGGCATCGTCGGAGAGAGAGAGAGAGAAGGCGAGATATATAGAGAGAGAGAGAGAAGCAGGACGGGGGAGGGATGGGCGGAGGGAGGGGGGAAGGATGGCCATCCATCCCTTCTGGGCCTTCGGGCACCCCTTGGTTCGGCAAACCACGGCTGGTCGCGGCTTGGAGAACGGTTCGGAGTGGTGCCCAAGAGGGATTCGGGGATCGTCGTGCTGAGCGGGTTCAAAGAAGGAGAAGGAAGGATAGAGAGAGACAGAGAGAGAGAGATAGAGAGAGAGAGAGAGAGAACAACAAAAAAAAAAGAGTAGGACTCGGAAGCAATCGGGGGCCCGCCAACAGGGACACGGAAGGACCAGGCCCCTGGCAGCCCCCAGGACAGCGCGCCGGGGGATCGAACTCCGCGCCTCGTCCCCCCGGGCATGGCGGAGGCCCGCCCGACGCGATCACGACGGGCGCCAAACACGCTCCATGCCCCGCTCCCCCCGATGGCCGCTCTGGCGTCGCCCCCGCGCGCTTCTTCACCGCCGCTGGCGACGCCGCTCACCCCCCCCGCCTGCGGCAGGCTCCTGCCGTGCTGGCCCCAGCCAGCCCTGAAGATGCTGTGGCGGCAGGCTCTCGACCGAGTTCGGCCTCGCCGGTGGCCCTCGCCGGGCCCCAGGCCCGTCAGATAACGGCTGCGGGGCAGGGGTCGGCATTTCCGGGGACTTCATATGGAAAGCATGGGGCACCGCATGTTGAAGGTTCGTGTCGCCGCCCTGGCCCGCTCGACGCGGAAGGCTTCCACGTCTGAGTGCTCCTCCTCGCGCCTCCCTTTGCGCGGCCGCCCTCGTCCTTTTCCCCCTCTTGCATGCCAGCCAATCAGCCAGTCGGTTGCCCCGAACTGCCACACGCTGGAGCGGACCGCCTCTGTCTCGCCGCCGACGGAAAAATGTTTCAGGTTCGTGTCGTGGCGTCCCTGGCGTGGACTTCTGACACCGTGTGAATCGTTCAGCCCCGAGCGACTGGCAGCTTCTCGATCGTCGGGTCGTCCCATTCGGCTACGCGTAAGAGTGGCCTTCCGCTGCAGTGAACTCTGGTGCGGGCCCACAGGGATGACTCCAGCACTGGCCCACGAGCTTGAATTGGGGCTCTTCGCGGCCCCCCAGAGCCGCGCACCAAGGGTCACTCTTGCAAAGGGTCAGTCTTGCGTGTACAGCCGGGGCCCTGAAGAAGGAACCCTTTTCGTTGGGGAGGGGCTCCGCGTTCCTGAAGTGCTTCGCAGCTTGCCTCAGGTTTTCCTTAGGCTTTCGATCGGAAATCGAAGGTTAACTTATGGAAAAAAGGGGCCCCGTTCCTTATTTTGGGTTCCTTAGGTCAACGCCCCGACTGTAGTCGACCCAGGTCGGCCGACTGTGGGCCACCGGCGGCATTCGGCCTTGCACGCCCGCGCGGGGGTCGCGGCCGCGTCGGCGCGGCACGCGCCCGGCGCTGCGCAGGCGGGACTGGCGCGAGCAGGAGATGATCCTGGAGCAGTGGGTCGCCGAGGCGTGGCCGCCGCCGCCGCCGCGCGCGCGGCCTCGCTGCGCGCCGTGGAGCCGAAGAGCACGGTCAGAGTCGGGCGAGCGGGTCCTGTGCAGAAGGGGGCCTCGAGTATGACGCAACAGTTTGTACAGTCGTTCGTGCTGGATCTTGGCATCGCTCGGGCGTGTGCATGTTTCCTGCGGCGAGGACCATGGAGGAGCATCCTTGATCATTTGGCGAAGAGACCACGCACGAAACCAAAAAAACACACAGGGAATGGACGTCCGAGCGATGGCAAGGGGGGCCTCGAGTGTACGCAATAGTTCGTACAGTCGTTCGTGCTGCATCGTGCTGGATGCCGTCAGAGTGCGTTGCATGTGGCTTCCTTGGTCCGTGCGAGAGGCCACGCGCCATGAGCCACAGGAGGAACTACTGCAATTTGTTGGGGGGGGGACCCGTTACGACAGATCCCCCCTTTTGCCCAGAACCAACAAGGTCAGCCTGAGCAGGCCCAGGAGTCGGCCATAATTGCTTGCGCGGACCTCTCGATGGGGGAGCCTCGTGGCGGCCAAGCAGGTCCTCTGGTACCTCCTGGGGGCATGTTGGAGGCCCCTGGGGCTCTCCTCTGGGCACCCTTGGAGCCCTCTTGGGGCCCCAGAGGCAGTGCAAGACCTGTCCGCTGGGCGGGCCGGTGTCGGCCCTGTTCGCCCGTGCGCGGCCATTGCTGCCGCGGCTGGTGCCGTCGTCTCGTCGTCGTCGTGTCTGTCGTCTTCGTCGTCGTGCTCTCTGTGAGGACTTGGCCCCCGCGCGTGGGCCTTACAGTCAACCCGCATATTTTAAGGTTGGGCATCCTTCCCAAGGGCATCCTTGCATCCTTGCTCCTTCGGCCCATGCTCGGCCGCTCTCGCTGGCCCTCGCCCCGTTTGCAAAGCGTCGAGACGAACTTCCGAGGCCCCTGCGTCCTCATCGTGCGTCCTTCTACGCGGGCTTGCTGCTACCACCAGTCAGAGCCAGAGCCAGAGTCGCAGCGCTCGTGCTTGGCATCGCTCGGACGTGTGCATTTTTCCTTCGGCGAGGACCATCGAGGGGCATCCTTGATCATTTGGCGAAAAAACCACGCACGAAACCGAAAAAAACACAGGGCATGGACGTCCGAGCGATGGCGAGCGTGGGGCTCTCTCTCAGTGGGGGCCTCTCCCCGCGGAGCGCGGCCGCCCCCGGGCCCGACGCCTCTTAAGGGGAGCGGCGCCCCGCGGGCCCGGCGGAGCGCGGAGCCGCCGCCGGGCCCGACGCCTCCGGGGGGGGGCGCCTCGGTGGGAGCCGCCGGGGGGCCTCGGTCCGCGCAGCCTCGGCCGCTTGCCCGCGGCGGGCAGGCGGCGGGCGCTGCGGCGGCCGCGAGGCACGCGGCGGAAGTCGGGCACGTCCCTCTGCCAGGGGGGGGTATATTCCAGAGAGGGGTCGAAGAAGAGCGCGGGGACGGCTGTTCGACTGCTTCTCTGCTGCGTTTGAGGATGCTCTGGCGTTATCAGATTTGTCTTCCTGTAGGAGGGCATGCCCGACCTAGCACTCGGCTTTCGCCATCCGGCGGCTCCTCCGCTCCACAAGCGCCCCGCCGTGGGAAGCGTTCCAGAGAGGGCCATGCCTCCGAGGGTCGAAGGAGTTGTCATCTCTTCCTCGGCGGAAGGCGGCGGCACGTCGGGTAAGGCGCCAGCCTGCCAGCAGGTGCCGCGCGGAAGCACTCTGGCCCCCGACGGCCCTGGGGCCTCCTCCTCCTCCTCCTCCTCCTCCTCCTCCTCCTCCTCCTCCCTCCTCTCCTCCTCCTCCTCCTCCTCCTCCTCCTCCTCCTCCTCCTCCTCCTCCTCCTCCTCCTCCTCCTCCTCCTCTTCCTCCGCCTCCGCCTCCTCCGCCTCCGCCTCCGCCTCCTCCTCCTCCGCCTCCTCCCCCTCGCCCACAGAAGCCAGGGGGCAGCTCAGGGGGCGCAAAGCTCGACGACAACGGTGCCCCCCGATTGCTCCCGCGTCGCGAGATTCTCAGCATGCAGGACCACTGCAGGTCACCCGCGGGGGCTCGAAGGTGGCCGCGCCTGCGCGCGTGGCGGCCAGGGCCGCCGGGCTGGCAGTCTTTCTGGGTGGGCGGCGCGAAGGGCGCGAAGGCAAGGCGCGCATCGCGCATCGAGGGGGGCGCGGGGGCACGAGGTCGGGCGACACGGCTGAGGAGGAGGCGCAGCCAGGTCACCGCATCGACTACACGCAAGAGTCCGATCGCCGGAGTGAGCTTTGGCGCGGGCCCCATGGCATCCCCCGATCGCCGAACGCGAAGCGGTAGCAGCGGCTTGCGCTCCTGGGTTTGGCCCCCTTCGCTTCCCCCGTTGAGTCGCACACCAAAGGTCACTCTTGCACAGGGTCACTCCTACGTGTAGCCGACCGCAGATTTGCCCAATCGCAGGAGGGACCCCACCCCGTCCAGCTTCCCCTCGAGCGCGTTCGGGGGCTGGGGCGCGGCAGTCCCCCCGCGAGAAGGTCGGCGGCGCTCTGGCTGCACCCGGCCGAGAGCGCCTACAGGGTGTATTTTCGAGCCTGTCGCAAGAAGTCCCACAGGTGAGCAGTTTCTGCCAGGTTGCGCGGAGGAACACCTCAACTGAGAGACCAACAAGTCAATGAGACCAGATTCAAGAGCCCGAAAGTGTGATGAGGGTTGTTGCGGGAAGGCCGCGGTGCCACGAAGGGCCAAATGACCCCGCGTGGGCCACGGTACACACAAGAGCGAGTTGGAATTCCGACGAGGGTTGACAAGTGACACTCCGTGCTGCTGGGCACGCCTGCAGCACTGAGTTGAATTTCAACCAGGTCCATAGGCCAATGAAGGTCACCAACCACAACGTGCTGCAAAAGTGATGCGACTTCTGCCTTCGCCAACCGAAGATCCAGGACCCAAGTTCTTGGTCGCACTGAGGCGGCTCGGGGCGTCTTCGGGCGTTCCAGGGGCTCCTGGGGTGGCGGGGGGGGGCAGGAAGAGTCGAATGATTGCTGCAGGTGGGGATGGGGCTTCCAGGAGCCCATGAGGCATGCTGACCGCTGCCCCCGTCAAGAGGGTCGGGCGTCCCGCTGGCCGGTGGCCTTCGTCTACCGCGTGGCCTTGATCAGGGGGGGGGCCGTCGCCGCCGCTGTCGCGGACTCCTCAGCCCCGCTACCGCCGCCGGCTAGCCCCGTCGCCGTCGGGGGCTGGCCCCGTCGCTGTCGCCGGTTAGGCCAGCTGGTTTCCGTCTGCCTCCATTGTTGAGCCCAGGCTCGCTTCATCTCGCTTCCGCATGAATCCGCGCGCTGGCACTTGCTTCCACCCCCACCTACTACTGCGGAGAGGCTGGAAGCACAGACTCGGGCCGGGTCCGGTTGTGCTGCATGCTCTGGGATTCCGGCTGTGTTTCTGTCGTCGGGCCGCACCGAGCTTGAAAGATGTCTATGGTGCTTGGGGGTGGGGGCGCGGGCTTTGCGAAGGCCCGCGCGAGCGCGATCTTGCCTACTCCAACAGCTCTGCCCGCAGTGGCTCCAGCCCTCAGTGTTACCAGCCTCCCCGTGGCTGCTTCCGCTCGCTTTCCCCCCAGCTTCAACCTGCTTCGAATTTCTTTTTCGCGCACCTCCGCTCACTTCCGGCTGCGCCCACATGCCATGGTTCCGCGTGCCTTGGATCGCCTCCGCCCGATTTCCCGTCGGTTTCGGCATGTTTCGAGTGGCGCCCACGCCGTGCCAGCTGGCTCTTCCTGCTTACATCGTTGGGGGGAACGCACTGGCTTCGCACGGCTCTCGACACGGCCGAAGCCGAACAGAGTTGCCAACACACACCCGAATCATCGAGAATAAATTAGGAAGACGTGGCCTCACCGAGGCCCCCGTCTCTGCATTAGGGAGATAACAGATTTGGGCGGTTTGGTTTGATACAACTTGCTGAAAAAAACATATCCCTGATGTGCTGGGCCTCTTACAGTGGAGACCCATACCAAGAAACACTCTGCTTGCCTCCAGGGTGCACTGGGTTTCTTGGATTTCGATGGCTTCGCTATGGGAAGCGTGACGTTCCCACAACGTCCCGGGGTCTCAGGGTTGGCTCTCCTGTGGAAGGCTTCTTGTGGTCGAGCTCCTACTGTACCTCAGGTCCGCTCTCAAAGGGTCAGGGGCCCTTCATTTGCCAATCACCAAAAACCTGCGGCTGTTCTCGACCTTGCTTGGGCGCCTGGGGGAGGAGGAGGGGAGAAGTCGTGAACCTTTTGGTTTACCTCCGAGCTCCCACGAAGTCCGGGCACCTTCTCAGGAGTTCCCCTGGCCTCGGCCCAGCCTGCGTGCCTCATCCTTTTCCCCTTGCAGGAGCGGGTTTCCCACGACGCGCATGGACATCACGTGGCCAGGGCAACAGGAGCCGCAGAGGCGCGATAGCAACCGATGTGCTGCGGCCTGATAGAAGGCGGCGGAGCGCCCGACCACTGAACGCGTTCCAGCGGTTGTCCTTTTTCAGACCCTCCTCAGACTCTCAGGGGTTCGCAGGCTCGGACCCTCAAGGGAGGCCAGGCCCGTACACGCCGTCGCCATCTTTATCTGGCACGCCCCGCGGTCCCCAGAGGCCACCAGAGAGGAGGGAGGAGGGAGGAGGGAAGAGGAGGAGGGGAAGGAAGAGGAGGGGGGCCTCCCAGAGCCAGAGGAGGGCCACAGACCGGGTCGAGGACGCCCGCACGCTTCCTCGATCCGCGAGGGCCGAGGGCAAATGTCTCGGGAGAGGCGCGCGCCCGCCGTGGCCTCGCCGCTCGTGCCGCTGCTCGCTCGCGCTGGCCCCCCTCCCTCGCATTCGGCGAGAGGTCGAGTCCGCCCGCGCCGCGTTCTTCCTGCCCGACATGCGGTCGCCGTCCGACGCGGAGCCCCGGGCGGTGCGGGGTCGCGGCCCCGCCCGTGCTCCTCCTCCTCCTCCTCCTCCTCCTCCTCCTCCTCTTCCTCCTCCTCCTCCTCCTCCTCTTCCTCCTCCTCCTCCTCGTCCTTCTCCTCCTCGTCCTCCTCCTCGTCCTCCTCCTCCTCCGCCTCCTCCTCCGCCTCCTCCTCCGAGAGAGAGAGAGGGAGATAAAGAGAGAGAGAGAGAGAAAGAAAGAAAGAAAGAAAGAAAGAAAGAGAGAGAGAAAGAGGGAGAGAGAGAGAGAGAGAGAGAAACCAAGACCCCACGGGCGCCGAGAGAGAGAAGAGCCGGGCGGCTGCTTCCGGGTCCGTGTCCCCGGCCCTTGGGGGGGCCCGGTGCCCGGGCCCCGAGGAGGCCGTCGAGAGGACTGGGCCAGGATGCAGAGCCAGCCCCGAGGAAGGGGCCCAGGCCAAGCGGCCGAAGAGGGCCCCAAGACTGCCCCAAGAGGGCTCCAGCACGGCCCAAGAGGCGCCCGAGAGGCGCCCCAAGGAGAGCCGAAGAGGGCACCAAGACGGTCCAGGAGGGCCCCGCCCCGCAGGAGGCCAAGACAGCCACAAGACGGCCCAACGAAGGAGTCACGACGTCGGCGGTCTACGGGACCTCAGGCCCCCGAGCTCTGGAGAGCGGCCCGAAGACAGCGGCGCCGTCGGTTTGTGCTCTCGCCGCGCTGGGCCTCTTGGAGAGGCCAGGCTCGGCTCATGGAGCAGGCTTTCGGCCACGCGCAGAAGGGAGTAGGGGGAGGGGAAGGCTTCTTAGAAGCACCCCTGCTTCTCAGAGGGCGCGGGCCTTCTCTGCAGGTGTGGGGCCGGCGCCTGCTAAGAGGCAGCCTCCTTCCAAGCAGCCGCATATCCCCTGCCCCATACCCCCTTTTGTGCGCGCCGCCAAAGGGGTCTGCCTGCGTGCGCCCCAGGGGGGAGGCGGCGGGGGGAAACGGGATGTGGCGGCAGGATCGTATTGTTCAACACCACCAACAACAACAACAACAACAATTACTAGCACGTGGGGACACTCCGTTCTCACCAGTGCCAGGGTTTTCATAGGAGGCGGGCAATACCCCCACTTTGTGGGGGGGCCGGTTCAAGCTCTACCAAATTTCCAAACGACTCTTCGCCACCACCCACACCCAGCTTCCCGCCCTATGACGTTCGGACACTTCACTTCGTGGCATGCGGACGACCGTGGCTACTATTCAGGGCCCCGCGGCCGACGACGACGGCGTGCGCGCGCGAAGAAAAAACGAATGTGTCCCGCATGGTATTATTTGACAGGGATGATGGCCCTGGCAGGTGCGCAACCGTTGTCGCAGAAGTTCGAAAAAGTTGCTCGCAAAAGCCCGTTTGACAGAAATGTTTAAAAAGTGTTGGGTTTCCTACGAATCCGCAAGAGCGCGCGGGATGAGATTTTGACAATTTTTTGTTGAAAAACCATTGGTTTTTTGATGTTTTTATGTTAAAATCGCTGCGAACACTAAGGTTTTGGAAGGATTTCGTCTTGCGCGCGCGAATGTCCACTTTACCTTATTTTTTGCAAGGGATTCTTGAAATTTGATTATATTAGAACAAGAAATGTCATTTTCTATTGTTTTTTGCAAGGGAAAGCGGATTACAACAAAACAACCGGATCCTGTACACACCCTCTTTTCTGAGGCTTCCTCACGAAAATGATGAAAATGTAGCTGCGGCCTAGGCGGCGCAGGGGGGGCGCGCACCAGGGGGCCCAACAATAATTATTCTTTAGAATAAATAATGTTCAACAATTACTAGCACGTGGGGACACTCCGTTCTCACCAGTGCCAGGGTTTTCATAGGAGGCGGGCAATACCCCCACTTTGTGGGGGGGCCGGTTCAAGCTCTACCAAATTTCCAAACGACTCTTCGCCACCACCCACACCCAGCTTCCCGCCCTATGACGTTCGGACACTTCACTTCGTGGCATGCGGACGACCGTGGCTACTATTCAGGGCCCCGCGGCCGACGACGACGGCGTGCGCGCGCGAAGAAAAAACGAATGTGTCCCGCATGGTATTATTTGACAGGGATGATGGCCCTGGCAGGTGCGCAACCGTTGTTGCAGAAGTTCGAAAAAGTTGCTCGCAAAAGCCCGTTTGACAGAAATGTTTAAAAAGTGTTGGGTTTCCTACGAATCCGCAAGAGCGCGCGGGATGAAATTTTGACATTTTTTTTGAAAAAACCATTGGTTTTTTGATGTTTTTATGTTAAAATCGCTACGAAAACTAAGGTTTTGGAAGGATTTCGTCTTGCGCGCGCGAATGTCCACTTTACCTTATTTTTTGCAAGGGATTCTTGAAGTTTGGTTATGTTAGAACAAGAAATGTCCACTTTAGCTTATTTTTTGCAAGGGAAAACCGATCGTAACAACACAACCGGATCCGGACTCCCCCGTTTTGCCTGAGACTTCCTCACGAAAATGATGAAAATGAGGCTGCGGCCTAGGCGCGGCGGGGGGGTCGTGCACCAGGGGCCCCAACAATAATTATTATTTAGAAGTAATAATGTTCAACAACAACAACAACAACAACAACAACAACAACAGCAGCAACAACAACAACAACCATAACAGCAGCAGCAGCAGCAGCAACAGCAACAGTAACAGCAACAGCAGCAGCAGCAGCAACAACAACAACAGCAACAACAACAACTCAACAAGCAGAATTCTCACCACGAGTTCCCTATTCAGCCACGCACCCAGGGACAATGCATGACCGTTCGGCCCCCTCACTCTGATCATGCTGCTCTGGTGAGTTGTTCCCCGCGGTTGCGGTCAAGATTGCCTTGCGCCAGCGCTTGGCCCCACGCCCCACCTCCTCCTTTCGTTCCCTCCTGTCCAGGAGGGAGTGCGCATCTCTGACCCGCCAGCGCAGGCAGGAAGGGGGCGAGAGTCCGGGGGGGGGGGCGCGCCGCCAAGGGAAGCACATCTGGATTAGCGTTGGGTCGGGCAGGTCCCCCTTACAGGCGGATTTTGGACGAAAAACAACACATGTTCAACAAATATTCAAACATAGTCACAAAACAAAATGGAAAAACCGTCCCTGGACTTTTTTTGCTATTTTTGAACAGTTCCTTCTGTAGAGGACAGGCCCGACTAGATTAGCGACAGAAAAGGAACAGGGTCGATTGCCCGGAGTTCCGCGCGTCCGCTCCTGGCGCGCTCCGCGCGCCAGTGACGGGGTCCAGCGCCGATCCGAGTAGTCCGCGCAGACCTCCAGAAGTTTATGTGTATGTTGCATGGTCGCTCCTCTGGTAAGCTGCCCGCGTAAGGCCGCGCGTGGGCGCCCTCGTCTGCAAAGCAGCATGCCGCCCGCGGCGGCGGCCCGCGCAAGCCACCGCGTGAGGTTGCCATGTCATCTCGCGTCGGATGATGACGTTCCAACCGACTTTAGCCTTGACCACCATGAATAATTTCGAGCATCAGGGAGATACCGAATCTTGAGGGTTTTCACGTGTCGGGCCCTGGGAGGCGATACTCGTTCGACATTGTTTCGACACTTTTCTGAGTGCTCGATTATGTTAGCTGGGACGTGGTCCTTAAGTACAATCGGAGCAGCGTAAGCGTAGGACCCGCTTCTTTTCGCCGTTCAGATGTATTGGACGGCAGAGCGGTGCGATTTACAGAACGGATCGAGGGCGCGCAGAGCGGAAGAGTCAATATGGCGACGAAAAGAGCGGGGACGACGACAAACAGCAGTTTTGCCAATTTGAAGAGGATTCGCTATTGTATCGGTGTCGCCGTGGGCGTTGTCCATTTGAAGCAAACGTCGCTTGCCCAACAGCGAAGGCTGCCAGTTTTGGACAACCTTTCTTTCCTCTTGGGCATCGTACTCAGCTAGAGGGGAGTGTAACCCAATGTGGGGTTAGAGTCAGTTGGGTAGAGAACCGAGCTGCGGTTTTCCTCGAACCCCACATCTGGCCTTACCCCACCTTTACGCCCCCGCGAATGAGGAACGAGGAAGAGGCGAGGGAAAAAAAAGCGAATGGCACAAGGAAGGGGAGAGAAGGAAAGCAAGGTAGTGGAGGGGCAAGAGAGATTGGACGAAACAGGGGGTTCATGTTATGGGCGCGTCTTCTGCGCTCTTCAAGCACCGCTTGGAAGACAAGCAGCGGTGAGGATCTCCACGGCAAGGCCAAGCGTCGTTCACACGGCTTAAACGAAACATTCGTATTGAGAGAGCTCAGCCGAGGATTCAGTTTATGTGT